TGGCAACAATAAGAGAGCTTTATTGTCTCCCATACGGCCCGTCTACACTACAGGCATCGAAAAATGCTTTCAACGCGACGCCTGACAAGTTTTTTACAAGGAGATCAGACGTGCTTCCTTGGACGTCTTTGGGGTTGTCCTTTGGCTTGACTTAGGGTATTACTGGTTAGTTCGCTGTTCTGTCCGCTTGGTTTGTTCTGGTTATGTACTTAGAGGGCGGCGCCGGCGTTATGTTTCCTGTTATCCTTACAATTGTTGTTGTGGTGCTTCATTGGGGAGGCCTGATATTTTTCGAGAGTGTTTGTCCGCTTTTTGCGATGGTCTAAGTGGGTGGACAGAGACGGTGGAGGAGCTTACCGGACCAAAGGACCGTACCTGATGCTTCGTCTACAAGAGAATCGCCGTGATTGAAGTCCCTCGAGACCATAAGGCCAGGATGCTTCGACCCAAAGAAAAATCTCGCCCGGGATCTAGACGACCATTGACTACGGACTCGGCCGGATTCGACGGGGTCCTCCGTCCAATGCTAACCGGTCCATTCTCGACCGTTTCGAGTCACTTTCGCGTTGACCGGACGACTGGTTAGTCTCGATCATCAACACGCCTCAAATTGGATCCAAGGAGCCCAGAACAGTGGCCAATTTCGTTGTCAAGCAACCAGCATTCTAGTGGATCCACACTAACTAACGATGCATTATAGAGCCTTCTCACTTCCCTACTCCTGTACTTGACGCCAGACCGAGAGGGATCGATAGCGTGCGCCACAACTATCTACCGATCGCGTAACGGATCGCCCTAAACGTACTTGCCCTAAACTAACCGACTACGGTTCTCGGAGCTCGGAGTTTTCAACTTGTAACAAGTTGAAACTCCGGCTAACCTACCGAGCACTACGAACGTTTCGGTACGAGGGAGGGGTTGTTACGTCAAGCCGCTTCTAATTTTTAGAAGATTTGCAGGGCGGCAACGTCTTTCTGGGCGGCGGCAAGGTTCACNCTTACTAATTTGAAAGTACCAAAACTAAAAGTAGTCATTTTGCAGATTGGTTCATGATCAATAATTATAAAACATATCATATCTATTATTCTGAAATGGACCAATCTGCAAAATGACTACTTTTAGTTTTGGTACTTTCAAATTAGTAAGATCATTTTTCAAAGGTTGACTTGTAAATAAAGTATTGTTGAGGTTAGGGATATGGTAATAGAAGATAAAGTATTAAGAAACATCTAAGTTCAGGGAGGTTAAACATCTTAGTAAAAGATTGTTGTTACCTTTTTAAAAAGATAAAAATAAAACTCATGTACTACATAACCATCCACCACCCTGACCTTTCTTTTCCCTTTGCTGCATAAAGGGCAAAATACTTCTTGCATTCCAAGGGATACAAGGCTGTTATTTAAAATGATGACATTTTGTTTTTCTTTCCCTATCCAAGAAAACTAATTGTATCAAGCAGTATTTCCATAAAAAAGTAATAGATTTAGATCGATGGAACCTCTGCCTGTTTGTTTTAGAGAAGCAGAAGGTGAAAAGAAGCAAAATAATTCACATCTTAAAAATTCTTATTTTTTTAACCCTTTTTCTGGATGGAATTTTCACTAACGTCTTGTAATACACTGAACAAAAATATAAATGCAACACTTTTGTTTTTGCTCCCATTTTTCATGAGATGAACTCAAAGATCTAAAACATTTTCTATTTACACAAAATAACCATTTCTCTCAAATATTGTTCACAAATCTGAAAAGATCTGTGATAGTGAGCACTTCTCCTTTGCCGAGATAATCCANTGCGGAGCGCATTAACCAGACTCTTCACAACGAAGGATCACTTCTTCTTCAAGGCAGGGAAGGTTTCGCAGTACGCAGTCTACTGTCCCGCAGCTGCTGCCTCTCTGTTGGACTCCGGTACTGCACCTTACTCACGAGACGTTGTAAAAAAAAAAAGAATGGGTGGGAGGCGAACGCAGTAACCACTCCGCCAACGCCACAGTCACCCCCGTCGTGCGGGCCGGATGAGAATGTCTGGCNGGGTCCGAAAACCCTAGGGTTAAACCCTAACATGTCAACCATTGAGCATGTTTGGGATGCTCTGGATCGACGTATACGACAGCGTGTTCCAGTTCCTGCCAATATACAGCAACTTTGCACAGCCATTGAGGCAGGAACTGGAACACGCTGTCGTATACGTCGATCCAGAGCATCCCAAACATGCTCAATGGTTGACATGTTAGGGTTTAACCCTAGGGTTTTCGGACCCCCCCAGACCCCCCCAATAAAGCAAAACTTCACGTTTCAGAGTGGCCTTTTATTGTGGCCAGCCTAAGGCACACCTGTGCAATAATCATGCTGTCTAATCAGCATCTTGATATGCCACACCTGTGAGGTGGGATGGATTATCTCGGCAAAGGAGAAGTGCTCACTATCACAGATTTTTTCAGATTTGTGAACAATATTTGAGAGAAATGGTTATTTTGTGTATATAGAAAATGTTTTAGATCTTTGAGTTCATCTCATGAAAAATGGGAGCAAAAACAAAAGTGTTGCATTTATATTTTTGTTCAGTGTAGTTCAAACATTCTTAGTTTTTAAACTGATCATTTATGTTGATTACAGAATATATAACTTGTTTATAGGGTATTTTTCCACAGCATTCTTCTTCTAAGTCAGAGAAATGTGGCTGGCTGATTCCTCTTTTTCACTGATGTATTATTATGGATAGGCTGTGTATGCTTTGGCATCAATACTTGTCTTGTGCATGTTTTTTAGTGAATAGATCTCTGAGTCTGTTGAAAAGGTTCCTGTCGCAGGTAATCAATACAAAACCATGTTTCCTCTAACTCATGTCTGAGCTCTTAAAACGAAATGCACAGGCTGTCTTTGTCTCTGGGAGAGGTGAGCATTGTGCAAGACCCGCTGACTAAGCTCAATCTGTAAAAAGTAATGTGATAGGATTCTAATGAAGTGAAAGCTCAGGGAAACTTTAAGCAAAGTATCTCACTTTTGTTGGATCTGAATTGAGCCACTGATAAACAAAGACTGCAGAGCATATACATTATGTAGGTAGATGTCCTTTCTAATTTAAGTGAAACATAGACTTTTTAAATCACTTGGACCAGTTTTACTAGGCATGTTCAGATGAGTCAATATTTGTTTATCTATCTGGAATTGTTTATATAGAAACTATATTTATATTTTCATTGGGATAATCTTGAAGTTTTTTTTGCCAAGAACACTACCCTACTTCTGAAATGTATTAATTATGTCATTATTTGCAGTCACCAATAAAGAAATACACCAAAGATTGGCTGCTGAACAGAATATAAAATAGGAGCTGTCAATTAACAATGGTGTGTCTTTTGTTTTGTTTTCCTGTGTCTTTTCCTATTACTGTTTTGCTTCCAACTATATTACTCTACATCAGGGGTGGGGAACCTTCGGCCTCCGGGCCGTATACGGACCGCGAGACCATTTGGTATGGCTCTCGAGGTAATTTTAACACACGCAAAAAATAAAAAAAATTAAGAAATCTAGACCGAAAAATAATTAAACGAGTGCCTGTTTTTCCTGGCCAATGTCAGGGTCATTGAACACAAGACGAGCCTAACGTGTCATCACGTGGTATACGGCCCGTCTGACAGGGGTGCAGTTCTGACGGAGAGCACCAGAACGCCGCTCCGGCACAGAAATTGCAGTACCCATAAGGGGCCGTATACGCCGCAGTTTTTGCGTGGCTGTGTCTTTAGTTGAAAGCTCAGTGTTGTGTTCAAAATTCCAGGAAAGACAGACAACTTCTAGTTTAACTATTTATTATAAGGGAGCAAAATATATATCACTATATCAAGGACTCCGTCACGTCATAGAAATCACAGACAGCAAACCTGCAATCTCTCAGCCTATTTCCGGACAAGAACCTCAAACCTTGCACGTTGCATACATTTTTATTACACAGGGCGTTGTCCGTACATTTATGATTGGTCAAGACTAGCTGAAGAGATATCAATCAATCAATCAATGTTTATTTATATAGCCCAATATCACAAATGTTACATTTGTCTCAGTGGACTTCACAGTTTGTACAGAATATCAGTATGACAATACGACACCCTCTGTCCTTAGACCCTCACATCGTACAAGGAAAAACTTCCGGAGAAAACCCCACAGTTTAAAGAGAAAAATGGGAGAAACCTCAGGGAGAGCAACAGAGGAGGGATCCCTCTCCCAGGACGGACAGACATGCAATAGATGCCGTGTGTAAATTGAAAAGATAATACATTTGCAACATAGGTAGTCCAAATGTTTGGAAATGCATGTGTGTATAATAGGAAGATGAATCCACGAGGATATCCATCCAGGACTTATGATCCAGGACCACAGCCACGACTCAAGATCCAGGACTTGCGATCCATGACACAGGACCGCAAGATCATCCATGACTCCGGATCCCGGTGTATATAGACACCAAAAAGAAAGAAATTTGGGGAAGCTGGGTTAATCGGAACATGAGAGTACACAGGNGTGTGCCTTGGCAGTCTCAGAGAAGAGGGGACACATGTTGATGTAGAAGAGACATGAAGAAGAGGGGACACATGTTGATGTAGAAGAGACATGAAGAAGAGGGGACACATGTTGATGTAGAAGAGACATGGAGAAGAGGGGACACATGTTGATGTAGAAGAGACATGAAGAAGAGGGGACACATGTTGATGAAGAAGAGACATGAAGAAGAGGGGACACATGTTGATGTAGAAGAGACATGAAGAAGAGGGGACACATGTTGATGTAGAAGAGACATGAAGAAGAGGGGACACATGTTGATGTAGAAGAGACATGAAGAAGAGGGGACACATGTTGATGTAGAAGAGACATGAAGAAGTGGATTTTGCATAATAGGTGACCTTTAACACTCATTGGAAAGCAAAGATGACAAATGATTCGTTTAGGAGGCTATGTTTCATCTGCAGTCCAGGGAAAGATGTTTCAGAATCACCCTGAAACAATGAATGTAACGTTTTAAAAAATCCTCCTTCTTACCAGGTCCACACCACTCCAGATTTGGTGAGTGCCAGAGAGAACTGAGCTCCACACTCGATCTGACAGACCGCCTGTCCGTTCAGCCTCTCGATGTTCTGGGGGATGTTGCAGCCTTCACTGCCTCCACGACCCAGCTTCCCAAAGTCCCCGTCCCCCCAGGAGAACACCAAGCCTGACAGGAAAGAAAATACATGCATCACTAAATGGAAAGAAAGCTTCTCAGGCGTAATTAAGGTGGTTCAGGAGACTTTTGAATACACACTATATACTCTGAAGGATAGTTGATGAACAGAAATACCTTCATCAGTGAGGGCCAGAGTTTGAGCGTCCCTGCTCCCACAAGCCACCTGGATAACTCTGTGTCCCAGAAGCACTTTCACCTAGAAGACACAGAAAACGGAGTTCATAGTCAATTTAAATCTCAGAGAATATCTGCATTCTTGAAAAATTCATGAATCTCAAAAAATATCAGCATTTTTGTTCTTGTAGCTCTTTGACTGTGTATGAAGTCTTAAGCCCATCTGTGTCCCTGCAGAGTATAGAGCGGTGCAGGGATGACGTATTTGTGTAGGCCGACCCGGAAGTAAACTGCGCATGGGGCACCCTCGACAAAAAGCAATGGGATTTCTCCTTTGGATTATTGTAAAAAAAATAAGGTCTGTGGAAAACGAACCTGTTTGATAAATGCATGTTTTGTTCAGCCGGATAATCTCCACATGTCTACCCTACTTTTATCATTTTCGAATCATAAATCTAATCGCCAGAAGTAAAATGCTAACGTTATGCTATAAACTAACTACAGCAGGGTCGCACGACTTCAACGTCACGGCAACTTCAGATCCATATTCAAAACATACAGATTCTAAATGGTACAAGTTGAAGCGTTTGTTGTAACAGTCTGCAGGAGGCAGGTACTTGCTTTCAAGCAGAACAGGGCAAACAAACTTAGCGGAGTGTTTACGTGTTCGGTGTAATGACGTACAACGGCCTCGACAACTTCTGTAGTCCTATTCAGCCACTTGTTAACAACCATCGTTTTTCAGACACGTAAACTCACCAGTGAGGTCACTGCTGATGGATTTAATGTCGTAGAACAAAACGTGATCCGTCTCTTCAATGTGTCTCAACCACAGAGCTTATTTCCAGCTATTTTCCAAAGAAATGCTCAAAAACCCGTTGACTCTGAGACGAGGGAATCGGAAGTGGTAAAATGCTAACTCACTTCCGGGTTTTAGGACTCGTCACTGCACCACTCTATAGAAGTGGTTAGACAGAAGAAGTACAGACGTACCAGTTTGGGCCTGAGCTGCGTGGTGTTGTCTCCGTGTCCGAGGCGGCCGTACTCCCCGAGGCCCCAGCTGTACAGCTCCCCGCTGGAGGTGATGGCGGCGCTGTGCGAGCTGCCACAGGCGATGTCCCGGATACGCTTCGTCTTCAGAGCCTCGATCAGCCGAGGCTTGTCACAGTTCCTACGGGAAAAGATGGAAAAACATGTAATTATTACTCATATTAGAAGAAAGTTGTCCATAATGTATAATAATTGGAGCAGGTTAACGTGTCCAGGAAAATTCTAATGTCGTGGAAACATTTGAAATGACGGTCAAATATTATCTGTGTATTATCTACCTAAAAACAATTGATAGGAAGACTATATCAAAAATCACTATCAATAGACTTGACCATGTTTTGATGCACATTTCTGGTGCCAAAAATGTGTAATTTTCAAATATGTTTAGGCTCTTGAATGTGCATTTATTGTAAGAATAATAACAACAGTATTCGTGCAGCTGAACGTACATTCTGCTGAAGTGTCCCAGCTTGCCGTCGTCTCCCTCTCCCCACGAGAACACTTTCCCGTCCACGGTCAGCGCCATGGCGTGCCGTCCCCCAGAATGCACTGCGACTTTCTTCACCACGTAGTTACTGAGTGCAGTGATCTGGCGGGGGATTGGGATGGTCCCGCTGGAGAGACCCAGGCCCAACCGGCCGTTAGTGGCCTCTCCACAGGCATAGATCTTCCCCTCCACCGTCACTGCAGCACGGACACAACGGTTACATACAACACAATATGTTTTTTATTGAAGACACACAGAAAATACATTTGGTACATTGATAGGTTAGATTGAGCAGTTCAAAGCCACAAGTGTTCAGCTTAGTCTCTACTATTGTACATCAATTAACAAGCCATACATAGTTGATCTTCACTTGAAGGCGTACAATATTTAAACCACAATTATAACCAAAACAGACCATGTAGCCAAAATGTAGGAGAGTGTTGTACAGACTGTTATTTAGTTTTTAATGTATTTTAGATTTGAACTGTTTCTCATGTTGTTGTGTTTGCCCTGTAACCCTATTCATTCTTAAAATGCTAATCAACAAAAATACACTGGCTTTCACATTCAAATAATTTATGTTGAGAAGCATACATTCAACTTTGTTGTTGTTGTTTTGCATAGGGAAAGTGAAGAAGATATGCATTTGGAAGCCATGAGGAAGAACAAAGGTGAGAATATGTGTCTTATCTGGAAGTCCCTCCTTTTTCATTCTGTCAGTATGTGTTTGGATCTTCTGAAACACATGTATGCTCTATAAAATACTTTTTTCTGCACCTAACTGCAAATATCTCTCCCCAGATTTCCGGAAAGAAGGACTGAAGGAGCTAAAGAAGTCAAAAGGAACATTCAAACCGGCAAAGATGTTTAAGATGCTGAATCACAAAGCAGAGAGCAACAAAGACTCTGTGGACAAAAAGAGCTGAAGTATTATCACAACTGCTGACAACAACTCATACTCTGAGAGGACACAAGTGGAATCTGATAACAACATGAAAAACCTTTTTTATTTTACTTTGAAGAGCAGCTCAGTAACATAGACGTGTTATTCTCTAATATTAATGTTTCAGTTTTATCGGTGTACATACTCTCTATGCTGTTCCTTTACTTTCCCTATCTCCTGTATGTAATATATTTATGTTTTATTTGATTACATTTGTTATAGTATGCAATAAATATGCATATGGGAAATGTGTATATTGTGTCTATGTGAAAACAGAAAAAAGTTCACTTTGCTTTGAGATGCACGATGGAAAGGAACAATACTGGAGAACAGAACTACAAATAATAATAATAATAATAATAATAATAATAATATGGCTTCAAGTACCAGTGTAGCAATACTATGTTACAAGTAAAAGTCCTGCATTCAAAATGTTAATCAGTATTAGCATCAACATATACTTAAGTACCAAAAGTAAAAGTACTCATTCTGCAGATTGGTCCATTTCAGAATAATTTTTATATAATAATATTATCCAGCTCCACAGAGGTGGAGGAGGAATTACTTTTAATTTACATTCATTTGTTTAATGCAGGAGCAATGCTTTTGTTTTGTAATGTTCTATTAAAGGTTTACTAACTCCAAATTAAATTTCTTTGTACTTTTCAGAACAATTATTAACGCCTATGAATGTGGCATTAAATGGAAATACTCAAAACTACAAGTACCTCAAAATTGGACAGTACTTGAGTAAATGTACTTAGTTACTTCCCAACTCTGATAAGGTTTATCTAAAATCTTGTTTTCTTTTTTATTAAAATGCTACAAAAACAACACAGTCTTGATCAACTAAAATGTGCCGTTTCTAACAACAAAAAAATAGTAAAACGTGGTATTAAAGTAAGGCAAGAAGCTACCCAATCATGTTCTCAACTATAAAACAGACTAATACAATTTTATCCGCACTAAAATCGCCTTATTTTATTACATTTTACCAGCTGCATTTGACCAAGTAATGCTAGCTTGGAGATAATTTAAACGGCTGTCGAAGCGGAACAAAAAACAAAGGTTCCTCCAGAGCACACGGAATACATCCAAATGGCAATTGTGATGGTTGCCAACAACCAGAGACAATACATCATGTATTTTTTAGCTGCCCGGATTATAACAGACAAAGATTCATTCTGAAAACTGCACTGGAACAACTCAACATCAAGGACATGGATTTCAAGGCAATATATGAAAGTAAATCAAGAAATGAAGCAAACAAACTGATCTTCAAATTCCTCAAAAGCACTGGTCTGAGGACAAGGATTTAGTAATAACTCAACAGTAGGTGGCGATATATGCTCCAAGTGGAAGCGATTCGCCATTAAAGAAAAGAAGAAGAAGAAGACAACCGGAAGTTAGACGATCTCATCGTTCATGTGGTTCATGTTGACAAAAAGAAGTGTCTCTCAAAAGTATTAATAAAAAGGATTCACGTTTACAGGCTTCAAATAAAACATGTCGGACAACGAAGACAAGTAAGTGACAACACACATAATGATGTCATATTCAGTATTTAGCCGTAAAAAACAAGAAAACGTGGGCTAACGTTATAACTAACATTTAGCCAGTTAGCTTAGCACAACTGTAATATAAAGATACTGTATTTATCCCAAACTGCCAAGCATTACATCAGTTACACATATTGAAAAGCTACAGTAAGATACAATTAGCATTAGCAGCAAGTATATACACATTCACAATAGAAAGGACATATATCTAGAGTATCTGAATACTACACATTATAACGAAAACAGTGCATACATTGTACTGACTATACACTCCCTGAGCTAAAGGGCTTTATAACTTAATGTGGATGTGTTTTCTCTTTGATAACGGTTTGATAATATATTTATAGCTTCGACGACGGAGATTTTGATGATGGAGATGATGATGACGGATTAGAGGACCTGGAAAATGCGGAAGATGTAAGTTCGCTGTTTGATTAAAAAAATTCAGCATATTGTAATATACAGGTTTTTATGTAAGGGATAATGTGCAGCGAGGCGGTCATTACGGGGGGAAACAACACCTGGCAGATCAGGGATCCCGACGCGAAGCATGCAGTTTGCTTGCAAGAAACAGCGTCTGAGGGCTTCTTAATATTTAATAAACTATGAATGTGTCATACCCACTTAACGGGAAGAAACTCAGCTTTCACACAATATTAGCCATGTTTAGCTAAACGAAACAAAAGGGCAATAACAAAGGCTCTGAATTAGCCCTGAGCGAAAAAACGCTAACGCAATTAGCACAGAACTCAAGGTAAAATACCCTTATTACTTATCGGATCTACACAAACAAGATATCGATTAGCAAGCTGAGATTCCACAGATAAGTATCATCACTGAGTGATCAGAGCTCACGACAGGGGAAGCAAACAGACATCACAACACGTAGCATTGCGGAGCAAACACGGGATAAATTCTTACCAATCAAATCAAATCTAGTTTTATTTATATAGCACATTTTTTAAACGATTTTTGGTCGAGCTGTACATACAATAAAAACACTTTACTACAATAGCAAAAAGAAGACAAATTACAACAGCAACAAACAAAAAATCACACACAGGGAAATGTCAGGAGTCGTGCTCCGCTCTGACTAGAAGGCCAGAGAGAAGAATGTGTCCCGTTGGCGGTTCTAGTGTTAAAAACCCCTTGGGTCTGGGCCGACCTTACATGGAGGGGCAGAGTGTTCCAGAGCCTACGGCCAGCTGCTGCGAAGGCTCGGTGCCCTCGGGTTTTTAGCCTGGTCTTGGGCACTATGAGCAGATGCTGGTCAGCCGACCTTAAGGCTCTGCCTGGGGTGTAGCGATGGAGGAGTTCAGCTACATAGGCCGGAGCCAGCCCATTTAGCGCTTTAAAAACAAATAAAAGGAGTTTAAAATAAATTCTGAACCGAATTGGAAGCCAGTGCAATGAGGCCAGAATTGGGGTGATGTGGTCACGCTTTTTGTGGCCAGTGAGAAGACGTGCAGCTGCATTCTGCACTAGCTGCAGGCGTTTAATTGACGCCTGGTCCATACCCACGTAAAGAGCGTTGCAGTAGTCCAACTTCGAGGTAACAAAGGCGTTAATAACCCTTTCCAGGTCTTTAAAAGATAAAAACGACTTGGTCTTGGCCAATATTCGTATTTTAAAAAAGCAGGTTTTGACTACGCTGCTGACCTGCTTATCGAATTTAAAAGCGCTATCGAAGGTCACTCCAAGGTTCGTGACAGAGGGGAGGATATTATTTTTGAGGGAGCCCAGAATATCAACCTGGGAGGCTGGAGGTTGGGGTCCAAAAAAGATGACCTCACTCTTGCTCTCATTGAGGTTGAGGAAATTTTGGCTCAACCAGGATTTCATCTCTGCTAATCAGTCCATCAATGGCTGTAAGGAGTTGTCATTTGAATTGAGTGGCAGATAGATCTGTACATCGTCGGCGTAGCAGTGGAAGATGTTGTTGTGTTTAGTGAGAATTGAACCTAGGGGCAGTATTTACATTAGAAAAAGGATGGGGCCCAGAATCGAGCCTTGGGGAACCCCACAGGTAAGAGGGGCTTTGGCAGAGGAGAGGGCACCCAGCTGCACAGAGAAGCTACGGTCTGTCAGGTAGGACCTGAACCATGCAAGGGCAGAGCCTGTGATGCCTGCGGACTGTTCAAGCCGTGACAACAGGATGCTATGGTCCACAGTGTCGAAGGCAGCTGTCAGGTCTAACTGCACCAGGACAGCTAGGCTACCTGAGTCGGCGGCTAGGAGCAGATCATTAAAAACTCTTAAACGGGCTGTTTCAGTACTGTGCATGGGTTTGAAGCCAGACTGAAACTTTTCATTAATGCCATGCGTGGTTAAGAACGACTGCAGCTGGGCATAGACTACTCGCTCCAGGACTTTAGATAAAAAAGGTAGCTGGGAGATGGGCCAGAAGATGAACAGAGCTGTAATTATCAGTTATTGAAACTGGTAGTCATCACTTTCTGAGAGGAAGGGTCTCTGCTTGAGGAGTTATCATCAGTTCGAGGCTTGCAGGTCAAAGCTACGGACCACAGGAACATAAAAAAACCTGAGAAGGAGAAAGAAAAGGCTTAATATACTGTTAAAAGCACAATGGATACTTTATATGAAGATCTGCAAATACTGACCCTGCAAGGAGTTTAGTATGGTGAAAAGGTAGATCCCAGAGAGGGAGATGTAGGTGGTCCCAGCTAACCCCCAGGGTAAGCCCAGCACACAGCTGAGGCCCAGCACCGTGGCACAGTCCTTCCATAATCTAATCCCTTTCTCTCTGTGCATCTTCTTCCAGCCACTACTGCCTCCGCCCGCCCTCAGCCTCCACAGCTTAAACACCACCAACCCCAGCATGCAGAAATTACACAGTATAACCAGGCAAGGGAAGGCCATGGTAGTGAGGTAGCTGACTAAAGGCATATGTGGGAACTGGCTGCTCATCCAGCATCTGCAAGTTAATAAAAAAAGAAAATCAATTATTTCCAAATAACGTGTTGAGAATAAAAACGTTTTGCTTCCAACCTCCCGTGTGGTGAAATATTTAATATCACAACATCTTGGTTTCTTACATCTGTGATGTTGTATTGGGGTTGGTGGCATCAATTATTTTCAAAGTGTATTTGCCATAAACACCTGAAATCCCACAAACCCCTGCAATCAGTGTAGGAATACCTGCATAAAGACACAACAAATACAGAAGTTACTTCAACAAACCCTGACAACAGCACACATGCAGAATAACAGAACACACCTCCTTTTTGGATTCATGTTCATGAGATTTTTGTCAGTCAAAATACAAAAGAATATGTATAAAGAATTCACATGTTATTAATAAGGAATATATAAGGATAATAAGGAATAATAATAAGGAATAAGGAATAGGATAGTTGTATTTTCCAGCTCTGAAAAGGGCCTGGGTTATGGATCTAAGATGTGAGTTCTTGAGAAGAGCTCAGTCTATCTCCAACAATGTCTCACTGAATCTAACTCAGTTGAAAACTTGCAGTCTCATGAACTGCCAATAGGTGGTGGTGGATTGGGCAGAAATGCTCATCTAAAAAGAGGTTCATGTTTTGGAAATATTATACTGTTGAAAGGTTTTGGAAAGAGGTTCTCCAGAGAATTTGCCTTACACTGTACTCTATAAGAGGGTTTTTGGCAAGATTGTGTAATGAACAAAATCATAAACCGAGATATTTAGCTGTTGCCAAAGATTGATTTGAAGATATACCAGGTAGACAGAAATATGACAATACAGTATGCTAGTATTTACATATCATGAGCTGTTTACAGAGAGTATTTTGATTTAGCAGTTTTTTTGTAATTATTCACTTCAGTATTGTTCCCTGGACCGTATTTTTGCTGCCCTCTGGCTTTGTAGTACCAAATGGACCAATATAAAAACTGGTGTTCCCCTTAGTCCCTTACACTCAAAAAATTGAACATACGGTTTCAGCCTTAATATCAAATTCAACTTTCAGACAACAGAAACAAAGACTCACCCCATCCAACCAGGCTGAGCTTCAGCAGGTATCTCCTGACGTAGATGTTGAAGACGCGGACCAAGAGGAGATAGAGGTGGAATCCTTCCAGAGCCATCCAGCAAACAGTGGCCAGCAGCGACCAGTGTAAGAAGAGACCCAGACCCCCGCACACCCAGCCCTCCTCACCCTCCTTCAGCTGCCACACCCAGAAGCTGCCCAGCAGGAAGCTGAGGTGGAGGCAGAGCAGTGCTACTGAGAGTTGCAAATGCACACCGATAGCCTTCTCAGGACGCTGTCGTCTGAAAGGAAACAGTATTCAGTTTGTTACAATCATTTTTATACTGCCTATTTAGCAGATACAGTACCATGTTTTCAGCTATTTCTGGAGCATGTCTGCTATCGGCCAGATGATGCTAAGCCTCTAGGGTTAAGGGACAATGTTTTCTTGGATCAAAGGTATGCCAGCTGGTATCCAGGCCAAGACTTCCTCTTTTAAGTGCTTAGTTCATTATTTCTTGTCCGATTAGCAAATCCAGATGCAAGAATGGTTCAGAGGAGATCTCTGCGACTTCACTGTTTAACAAGCAGCCGGTATCCAAGCTAATTTGAACAGAAAGCTCAATTGTCTTGTATTAAAGCCCAAGGACTCTGAGATTTCCTTTTTCATTGTACGTGATTGGTGAATAATACTCAGACTTCAAATGGAAACCAGATGGCTCCAATACAATAAACTTGTCCCGGGTTAGGGGTATACTCAAGACAAACTAGTTCCATTTATAAATGCACACACCTTGCTGAAGGCCCTGTAGTGTTGCAGTCTGTTTTCTGTACACACAAAAAAGTGTCTGAATAGTTGTGTTAGTAAAGATATCTTGAAAGACAGAAGTTTTATTTTCATATGGTCGTCTTTAAGAGATACTGATATGGCCTGATACATCTGGCGCACATCTCCCAGTTCTTAGGTGACAAAGGTGGGGTTTCAAATGCTGTTCACCCATCCCACAAGCAAAGTAAATCCCTAGTTATGGGCCCACATTGAACAGATACTGCTGTTGTGTTTGAATTTAAAGGTCACCTATCATGTTATTTTTAGGCAATAGCATAGGTCTCAGATATATAAAAACATGTCTATGAAGTGTTTGTCTCAAAATACCAAACAGATCACCCATACTAGCCATGCATCATACCCCTCTATTTCAGCCCTGCTACTAAAGTGCTGATTCGGGGTATAAAGCTTTTTTTTAAAGACTAAGAGGGGGCGGAGCTTATGCCTGCTCATGCGGGACCCGGTAGTCTAAATGCTGCGGTGATGAAACGCCATATCATGTTCAAGACCACACCAAGGATTATTTCTGAAACAGTATGGAGCTAAAATGCTTTTTCTCTTGCGGGTTTACCACAAGGTGAGTTCCTTTTTTTACACATGCTCTCTCCAGTACAGGTTAGCTCTGAGTGTTAGCGATGCTTGCTAATGTAAACAAAGACCATATTACTTCCAAAACACGTTGGGCATTGATTCTGAAACCAACGTTTCTGATAGGGCCGTGGGTCCACCATCCGATATGACGTCATATCGGATGGCAAATCTGGATCAGCTCCGTTGTACCCCCGTTTTTAGAGATTAGTGCACAGAGGAAAAGAGAGAGGGTTTTATTTTCTGACACTTTGTGAGTTCCCTGACACATATTTATATATAAAAGACACCAAAAAGTGCATTTTGCATGATAGGTCCCCTTTAAAGAGCTCTGTAATATCAGCATCACCATTCAAAATGGTGTAACTAAGTACATTTACTCAAGTACTTTACTTAAGTATTTAAATGTTTTGCTACTTTGTATATCCACCCCACTACAGTTCAGAGGTTAATAGTGTACTTTACTCCACTACATGTATGTAATACCTTTAGTTACTTTGCAATAATGTGATAAACACATTAATGCATCAATAATTATAATCAGAACATATCATATATATTATTCTGAAATGGGCGAGTACTTTTACTTTTTCTAATTTAAGTATATTTTGATGATAATACTTTTACTTGAGTAACTTTTATTGCAGGTCTTTTACTTGTAACAGAGTATTCCTACACTCTGGTACTTCTACTTTTACTTAAGTACACAATCTGAGTACTTCTTCCACCTCTGAAACTAGCAGAGCACTTCTAACCTATAACATAAAACATTTGTACTTCTACAAACATCATTCTGTTTAAAAAAAACTAGTTTGCTAACAGGAACTTTGATAAACCACAGAGATTATTTAACCCACACACGGCAAACCTCTGCAGCCGATAACACCCATCTGTACCGCGAGAGGAACACACTGCCTCACTTAAAGTCTCAGTTGTTTATCTGGCAGCCCTTGACTTTTACATTCATCCTCGCTGTGTCACAGTATGGACTTCAGTGACTGAAAGGCTACTGTTTCCTACTTGACTCCAACACTGGCTCTAACTCTCTGTATCTCTGCAAAATTCAAACCATTTGTTGAATTTATAACTTATGATCACATCCACTTTGCACACCTTACTTATGTCTCCATTGTTTGCATGCACATGTTTAAAGGTCATACTTTCTATTTTATTTATTTGTATTAATGAATTACACTTAGCATCTCTGGTAAAGTGTGTATTATTACGAGAGTATTGCTTTAGTTGACAGAAAGTATAAGTGTCAGGTTTTACTTAATTTTATTATACTATAACCTACAGAAAAGTTATGTAAATTATCATTTTAAGTGAAAAAATAACTCACTGTAGACATATATAGATGATCAGGCTGATGATGGTGAAGAAGATGGAGAGTGCTGAACCAATGTAGGTGATGTAGCTCAGGATCACAGCATTGCGTTTAGACTGTACTGATAGTGCTGGGTTCTGGAACAAAGAAAATGTCAATAAAGTCAAATGATTTTATTTCAAGTTCAGGAGTCGCATGGAAGCTTCTTGAGTAAATACTGTATATTGTAAACATATGAAATATTAGGATTAAGTTCTCGCAGAAACACTACCAATGAGGCCCATGTCTTTAACACATTATATACAAGCATTTGCAATCATCTACATAGTATTGTAGTAATACATCATACAATGTAATATAATGCATTATAATCACATGCAATATTGAGCATAATCATATTGGAAATGATAGGCATGTTAATAATGCATTGCAGACATAGGCTTGCAAAAACATGTCAATGAAAGACCAGGAGTTATGAATGTGTCATGATTATTGCTAAAAAGCACTTATTATTATGAGTGCTAATGCACAATGGTAAGCATTTGGGTACCGTAAAATAACATTTATATTTTACCACAAGCACAGCAAAGAAGCTCAGGTGGTTGCAGCTACAAATATACTCCGATCCAGTTTCACTGGTTTCACATCCGTCTGTGCTCCAAACACCTAAAAACACACATATAGTTTAGATTTTTTTAATTTAAGTTCAAATAAGAATTTAGGCTGGCATTTGTTGCCTACCTGTTCCATTTTTAAAGTGTGACTCCTGCCAAAACACACATGTCCCTTTTTCTACCTGAAACATATAGACATTCAAAATAAGAGCAAAGCAGATTGGAGTCAAACTGTAATGATTTCACAGCTGGTTGTGTTGTGTACCTGTTTGTTGTGTCTGAAGGTTAATCTGACGGGTTGTGAGAGGTTTCTGACAGGCTGGCTCCCCGCCCTCACTACCAGGACTAACCCCCCTAGAACTTGTTTGATGATAGGCTTCTCTAGTATGACCCGCCCTATCATCGGGGGGCTCAGCTGCAGAGACAGAGCGAGGGTTAGGTATTCATATCAACATTAGCTACAGTATCAACCTTTTCCTCCATTTCCATAGTACACAATGGCTGATTGTGCATGTACAAAGTTCACTGGAATCAATGCAAATTGGGATGAGGGGAAAGTGAAACTTTGTATAATACACACATATGTACACAGTGATAAAATGTAACAAAGTGCATTTACTTAAATGTTGTTCTAAAGTAACATTTTCAGGTACTTCACTTAAGTATTTATATAAAATACAAGTCTATCTTACTACATTTTGGAGACAGATACTGTATTTTTTGTGCAAAAATGTATTTCCTTTTTTTTCCATATAAAAACACATGATATGCTTAAATTATATAATGCAATACTGTACTAATAATACTATTGTTAAAACATTACAATAAATAATAATACTGTTGTTTGATACTGTGAGAAGGAGCCATTATGCTTAATGACTACTTTTATTTTCATTAAATTAAGCTAATATTATGTGTGTACATCTACTTATATAACATTTGCAATTAAAAACTTTTAACTGTAATGGAACAGTGCTATACTTTGTATTAGTAAGTAAAGGATCTTAGTACCACTACTGGATGTCAACAACTTTAAGTACAACTTGCTATATACAAATATATAAAGGTTTACCTCCTAATCCATTCACCTGACCAGTCTCTCCTGAAAGGAGCCTTCAGAAGATACTGACCTTAAATAAAGTGCTGTTGATCACCGTGGCGACCAGCAGGACCTCCTTCTGAGACGCATCTCCGCTGATCCTCTGCAGACAGGTGGAGGGGATGTGAACCGTGTGCTGCGGAGTGGGACTCTCCTCTGCCTAAAAACATAAAACATTTATCAGTAAATACAGTGCATTATAAATTAAACATATAATTTTTACTTTACGGAACACACTTTGCTGTTAATACTTTCATGCTTTTGATTAAACAAGATTTTGAAGGCAAGACTCATACTTGTAGAGTTATTTTACAGTGTTGATTAGTACTTTAAAGGAGTCTTATGCTTAGTTTCAGGTTCATATTTGTATTTTGTGCCTACCGTGACATGTTTACATGCTTTAATGTTCCAAAAGGTCTTTCAAATTCAATCGAAAGTTGTTTATTATACATTATGACTAAGTTTGTCTGTCACATCTGAAGATTCCTCCTTATTTCAGCAAACATAAGAGTTGGATAATGCCACATTTGCATATTTAAACATAACAAAACACACTTCAGAGAAAGGAAAACCCAAATGGCATAATAGGGCCCCTTTAACTTAAGATTACCATGTGAATGCTTCTTGGTGATTGATGAAGCAACAAGCTATTTTTCTTTTGTTTGGCTAATGTAAGTGCATTTAATTTAAACTCGCGATTGTCTGAAAACCAGATTTGACGAGAGCTGGGAGCCAGTTGTCCAAAAAATACGAGCTCACCTCTTGAGACGAGTTCACCATCAGATGAATGAAAGTCAGGGAACGGCGCATTACTCTGCAGCTTGTAATTTCGGACTCATAACACCTGAAAACACACATTTCACAATATGTCAATGTCACCCATTGAGCATGTTTGGGATGCTCTGGATCGGCGTATACGACAGCGTGTTCCAGTTCATGCCAATATACAGCAACTTCGCACAGCCATTGAAGAGGAGTGGACCAACATTCCACAGGCCACAATCAACAACCTGATCAACTCTATGCGAAGGAGATGGGTGACATGTTAGGGTTAGGGTTAGGGTTAGGGTTTACTAGCCCTAGGTTTTCGGACCCCCCCAGACCCCCCCAATAAAGCAAAACTGCACGTTTCAGAGTGGCCTTTTATTGTGGCCAGCCTAAGGCACACCTGTGCAATAATCATGCTGTCTAATCAGCATCTTGATATGCCACACCTGTGAGGTGGGATGGATTATCTCGGCAAAGGAGAAGTGCTCACTATCACAGATTTTTTCAGATTTGTGAACAATATTTGAGATAAATGGTTATTTTGTGTATATAGAAAATGTTTTTGACTTTGAGTTCATCTCATGAAAAATGGGAAAGCAAAAACAAAGTGTTGCATTATATTTTTGTTCAGTGTAAGAATAGGTATGGGATTTTCCTGTGAAACCTACAACATAATGAAGTCGTCTTTCTGACATGACTTACTGTAACACATGTCTTTAAAAAAATTTTTCAAAAAGAAAGAGGAGATATAATGAGTTGTATTTGTGCTACCGTGGTCACAGATCTCGCTGCTGTTGAGACATCCTACCCAGGACTGTCACAGTCTCCGGTTAGAATGAAGAGAGAAGTGAAAGAGTCAGACACTATATGATACAGTATGACTGACTGACGAATAAGATCACAGATATACTTGGTATCACTCACATGTCTATATTGCATTATAAACATATTGAATCTAAGCACTTTGATAATATTTAACGATAGTGTCTTTATTAAATCATTGAGCCCTGCATAAGAATACATTAACCGTCAAATAAATGACGAATTTATTCCAGATTAGCTCTAGCTTATTTCTATCACAGTCCCTAAGCAGTATACACACGTCATTAACAATCAAACTAAAAAATGACATTTGTATCTATCCAAAAATAGAAAAGATTATAAACGGATCAAAGAAGTACGTTCAACATTGAATACCAGCCATTTATCCATAACATTATATTTATCTTAACTATTTAAAACTCAAATTACAGTCAGTTAATATTGGACAAACTGCAGTAAAATGCCTCTCTGAATTCACAATGCTTTATATCAATAGCATCAACACATATGTTTTATAAGTGAGTATANTATTGAAGACACATAGACAATACATTTGGTACATTGATAGGTTAGATTGAACAGTTCAAAGCTACTAGTGTTCAGCTTAGTCTCTACTATTGTGCATCATTGATGCACAATAGTAGAGACTAAGCTGAACACTAGTAGCTTTGAACTGTTCAATCTAACCTATCAATGTACCAAATGTATTGTCTATGTGTCTTCAATACAAATATTTAAAAAACCGAAATAACAAAGCTCAAATCAGAAAACTGGGAAAGAAATGTATTTATTAATAATTGTTTCTTCACACCTCTGCCTGTCCTGATCCAAGCTGCCCACGATTTGGTTCCTCTGCTCGATGACGGCGACCAGTTCGTCCATCAGCTGCCGCTCCAGCCCCCGATCCTCCTCACTCCAGTCACTCTCTGAATGAGAAGAGGACAGAGTGTAAGTTTAACAAAATAAAAAGCACCACAAATCACTTCTTTGCTCTGCATCGCATTGATTGCTTTCCCCCCTTCTACTCCAGTAGGACTCAGATGAGGGGGTTGAACTTTTCCTTGTACATGTGATGTTTTGGTGTTGTAGTTACTGTATGTTGTTGTTTTTTTGTTTTGTTTCTTTCCGTTAACTGTCAAGTGGGAACTACGTTTTTTTTTTGGTACGTTTTGTGTTTCTCTTACTTTCCTACGATACTGTTATGATTGGCTGTGAATAAGAAAATATGAAGCACAGAACATCTATTTCTATTTTCTTTTTTCTTAGGGGCAGGTCGTATGAGATTATTTTCTTCTCCCTGCTCCTTTTCGGGTATTGTGTGATATAGTCAGAGACATGTTTTGCAAATAATTGTTATACATTAAGTTGTGCACACCTGTGGCAGGATAATTTGATAATGCTATAATATGTTAAAAATGTCAATTACTGTGATATCCTCTGTAGAAATACGGTCCTATTGCTGGAAAACTGGATGGTTGCCGATGTATTAACGGCCCGTCCACACTACAGCTTCGACAGCTTCAAAAACGGTTTCCAACGCGTCTGCCAATTCACTTTGAATGGGGTGACGTCACGTTGCCTTGCTTTTCGCCGAACTGCATTGTGGGAAGCAGAGCGGAGCTTTCCTGGCGTGGAAGCGTCAGCCAATCAAATCATATGCCAGTACAAGCTCTAGCCAATCAAACCGCTGCTTGTGTGTCAGGGGCGGGAGATTCATGTGATTGGTTGTTGGTCGAGCTTCAGACACGCCCACCGGCAAGCTTTTTTTGAAGCTGTAGTGTGGACGAGATAGAGTGCCCTTGTTGTATGTACCAATTTCATTTGGTGTTGTTATTTTTCTTTAATGTAAAGTAAAGTAGTTGTCCTGTGTATATATGTATTGCTTTTGGCTCTATGTCTTTGTCCTATGTATGTGATTTTTTGTAAACTGAAAATCAATAAACATATTGATAAAAAAAATAAAAAAATTGTGCACATCATGAACGGAACCAATAAAAATGAAATTAAAGATATTCAGGAAACTGTCCGAATCAAGTTTTTCGCCATTCACACACACAAGGAATTTGCTTTGGTGTATGATGGTGCATACAAAGGAGCAAATATAGAACTAAGTATTACCAAAGCACTTTTTACAAGCTGGTGCAACAGTACACATTATGATTACATATGGGTTATCGATACATGAACCCCTCCAGAGTTTCCCCCAGTGATGCCGATGCTTGTTGAGAGAAATAACGATGCTATATGTTGTATAAAGAAGGTGACAAAGTGATGAATAAAGTAACACTGACCTGGTTTGTTAAGGAGACATCTGAGCTCGTACTCCACATCTGCCTGCCTCTCCTCCAACTTCTGCTGCTTCGTCCTGGGAAATACATTTTTAAACAATCAATATGTGTTGGAGAAGTAATGAAAAGTAATGGCACAACTCATCATGGTTTAGTGAACTCACAGGTAAAACAGCTCTGTTCCTCTGTGCACCAGAACATGTCTCTCATGGTTCAGAGAGAACCACTCCATCAGCATCTGATCCTCCTCTTTATCTGTAACAAAACGAATAAACATTTAAACATTTCTTTAACATATTTAGTATTCACATAACAAGTGTAAGATTCTGTCTATAAGCAGTAGTAATTATTAGTCGAACCGTTGTTGTAGTCCCTGAGATTCCTCTCCAGCTCGACCCCTCTTTGTTCCAGATCCTCCAGATGTTTATCCAGCTCACTCATCTCCAGCTGCAGATCTGCTGAGGACGCATTCTGGTCCGTCTGCACCTGTCACGAAACATACATTCGGGATGTTTCTCAATGTCGAGTAAAACTATTTCAAGCATACTACGTCATCGAGTGCCGCCGAAGTACTGTTCCAATGTCCAGCATGCTTGGAATTCTACCGAGCCCGGCGTACTTCGTTTGGAGAAATTTCGTGTAGACTCCGTAGTCTTAAAAATCCCCACAATGCTTTGCGCACGGACCAATTTCCCCAAATCTGTGGCGGAAAATGTAAGGCTGGGCCTCTCATATGAGGCACACCTGCACACTTGCTAATGGTAGCCTGTTCCACTCTTCGTTTTCCGAATGCTAGGAAGTATTCTTGCCTCGCTTCTGAACCAAGACGCTCGGAAGACATGTGCTACCAAGCAAGCGTACTCGAGATTGAGAAACACCCATAGTGTACATTTGAATGTATTTTTTACAGAATATAATACACACGTGTACAGTTGATTTAACTAGATAGAAATAATCAAATAGCAACAACTAAAACATCATTTATACTAGTTAATGCAACATAAACATTAATGCAGAAGCAATATTAATCCCAAAACACCAGATATAAAAAAGGACCAAGGAACAATTTACTGCAAAATTAATACATTTACCTTTTTCTTTACTAAAGGTACATTTGACTGATACTGCTTACAAAATATTACTTGGGTGACGTTTTTAATGTCGAACATTTGCATATATTGTTATTACTGTTACTGTTACTGTACCTTCCTCTTGATGAGTGGGAAGCCATGTCCGGGGGCCGGGGCCCTCGCAGACTGCAGAGTCTGAAAGGTTTTAGATTTGGGTAATCCAGGTTTCCGATCAAAGGGATTCTCTTTGCAGGCCACCTAGAAATAGAAGGAACATTTAAAATTATAGGGCACGTTAAACTTATGTCATGTCTTTGAAGAAAATGCTCACATTAGCTCTCATCATCTCAAGGTTCAAGATTCAAGGCTTTTATTGTCATGTGTGCATTCTTAGGTCACAGGCTGCTCCAACAGAGCAACACAATAACACAGATAATAGTGCAAGTAAATAACATAAAATAGAATATAATATAAATTGTGCAGAATAGTCTATATACAAGTAGTTTGAATATTGATAGATATAAGTTGCATGTCTTTCCATACCTTACTTGAACTTGGCCTGACCTGATCAGATTCAGTTTCCACCGTCAAGTCCAAACTGGAAAGGGAACTTTGAGAGCGGGCAGATGTGATGGCCGGCACAGAGAGACTTCTGGGTAAAATGTGACTCTGTGTTTCATCTGAAATGGCATCTGTCCCTGCTGCTTCTGCTTCACTCACATCCAGGGGTGAACCTCCCGTCTTTCCAGTTTCATCCCGATCTGATAAACTGAGTTGACTAGTATCTCCAGCTTGTTCTACAGCCTCAGGTTTAGCACCCTCTTCCTCCTTGGGGTCCTCCCCCCCCTCCTCCTCCCCCTCCTCTCCAAACGGATTGGGAGCGGGCACTCGGGGTTTGTACCATGTTCTCCTCTGGTTAAAGCCAGATTTGGATCGAGGGGTGGGGACCGGAGGAGGAGCGGGGGGCAGCTGGGTCCAGGGCCCCGGGTGGATGATGGTGATCCAGGGATGGTTGGAATGTACTTTAGGGTTTCCTCTGCTCGGGCTGCTGCTACGAGGTGAAAAACAAGACATGACATGGCTTTCAGCGAGGAAGAACTCACTTATTATGGAAAATCACATATTTTATATCAGGGTGTATGCAGGAATCCTGAAGTCAGATGTAAGACCTTTTTTAAGACCCTTTCCATACATTTTAGGACCTCATCGCCACTTTGAGTTTTAACCGGTTACCTTGGCAACACACTTACCTCACATTGACTATATACAGTATTGATTGTCCTTCCTCCTTATCTTCCAACCATTTGGACGCAGACTTGCATTTCCCCATAACGATGTTGTTTAACAACCGGCGTAAACGGACCTTCGCGCTATCAAGCAGTGAGCGTGCGATGTCCTGTTCAGATGACGTCAAATCCAACGGGATGCCATAAATAAACTACACAGAATCACACTACACACCTACGCAATGATTACATTCAGGCAGACTGTAGAATACAACCTCTTTGGACCATTTATATACTTATTGAAAACAAGCTACAAAATGTAATACCTTGGGAAATGCCTTTTAATAACCTTCATTTTCGCTAAATTGATTTATAGACTTTTAATACTTTTTAAGACCCCGCGGACCCC